CATAACCATCTCTTCACCTCCATCCCTGTTCCCACCCCATCCCCATCTCCTTGTCCTTGTCCCCATCCCTGTGCCCACCCCATCCCCATCTCCTCCTCCCTGTCCCCATCCCTGCGCCCACCCTGTCCCCATCTCTTTGTGATGGTCCCTGTGCCACCCCCCATTGCCCTGTGCCCACCCCATCCCCATCTCCTTGTTCCTGTCCCTTTCCCTGTGCCCACCCTGTCCCCATCTCTTTGTGACTGTCCCTGTGCCCACCCCATAACCATCTCTTCACCTTCATCCCTGTGCCCACCTCATCCCCATCTCCCCATCCCTGTGCCCACCCTGTCCCCATCTCTTTGTGACGGTCCCTGTGCCACCCCCCATTGCCCTGTGCCCACCCCATAACCATCTCTTCACCTCCATCCTTGTGCCCACCCCATCTCATTGTCCCTGTCCCCATCCCTGTGCCCACCCTGTCCCCATCTCTTTGTGACACCTGTACCACCCCCCATTGCCCTGTGCCCACCCCATAACCACCCCACTGTGCCTATCCCTGGGCCAACCCCCTCCTAAACTTGTCCCCGTGCCTGTCCCCACCCCCATGTGCCCACTCCATCCCTCTGTGCCCACCCTGTCCCCATTAACTGGTGGCACCTCCACTCCTCTCTGCCCACCCCTGTGTCCTCTCCATCCCCATTGTCCTTGTCCCCATCTCCTTGTGCCCATCTTGTGCCCACCACCTCTGTGCCCTCTCCCTCCCCGTCTCCCTGTGTCCATCCCCACCTCCTTGTGCCCATCTCCATCCCCATCTTGTGCCCATCACCCTGTGCCACCCCCATTCCCCTCTGCCCACCCCGGTGTCCTCTCCATCCCCATCGTCCTTGTCCCTGTCACCCTGTGCCCATCCTTCTCCCCATCTCCTTGTGCCCATCTCTGTCCCCATCTTGTGCCCACCACCCCCCTGTTCCCTCTCCATCCCCATTCCCCTGTGCCCACCTCGTCACCATCTCCTTGTGCCCATCTCTGTCCCCGTCTTGTGCCCATCACCTTGTGCCCACCCCGTGTCCTCTCCATCCCCATCACCCTGTCCCCATCCTTGTTCCCACCCACTGTGCCCTCTTTCTCCTCATCATCCTGGGCTCAAGACCATGCCCTCCTTGATGCCCCCAGCCCCGTGGTGCCCCCCCAGCCCCTTCCCACCCCTCTGGGGTACCCACGTGCGGTAGAGGGTGGGCAACCCGCAGTGGGCACGGAAGCGGGAGAGCAGGCGGTTCTCCAGGTCGATGGTGGTGGTGCCAATCTCCTGGTCGGGTGGCAGCAGGTCATAGTCCAGTAGAGAGACCCGCAGGTCCTTCTCCAGTGGGATGGTGCCCATCACCTCGAACAGCCTGGCAGCGGGAGTGGCATCAGCCCCAGGGACGTGCCAACATGGGGGCTGGCACCCGCTGGCATGGGGAGTTGGCACAGGAGCTTGGTGGCACAAGGATGTGGTGACGTGGGGTCCCACCACCCTGGGAAACAGGGCTTCTGGTGGCATGGGGAATGGGGCATCTGGTGGCATGGAGACCCACCACCTTGGGGAACAGGACATCCGGTGGCACATGGACCCTCCAGCACGGGGAACAAGGCATCTGGTGGCATGGAGACCCACCAGCATGAGG